GATATGTATCTGTTTTTTTTTTAATATTTACTTTTAAATTAACAAATTGAATAATGTTTAGTTCTAAAATTTCAATTATAATCTACAGTTTGATACCAAAGTTATTGATATAAATTCATGAAATAGTAGTTCAATAAATTTTGAATGCAAATCAACAAACGAGATGACATGGCCTTTCACCTGTGACTCGAAAGGGTTAATGAAGAAAGTAAGTTGTAATCTTCAGGGGTAGTCAATGTGCAAGGTTGATTCATAGGTTAAGTTAATTTTGTGAGAAAAAATTCAGTTCTCTGTGTTTTCTTTATAATTTGTTTTAAGTTTTATTTGAGCTTTTCTATGATACTTTTGATTTTTATGTTGAGCTGAAGGTTCAGTTTTATTTTTAGGAAGGTTGCTATTTTGCAAGTTTTTAGAAAGATTAAACTTGAAATCACATTCTTCAATTTCAATTGGTTTTTCTGTAATGATATAAATTTCTTCTTTTCTATCTCACCATAACATAGGTGGATTATTTTGGTGAGGCTTATGTTGTTTAATTGTAGAATTAGATTTAGCTGACTTTTGTAAGACTTGCAATATAAAAATCAAACTATAATTTTGATTAGAAAAAATATTAAAGATATAACTTCTCTGTTCCTTAAGTGTTTTAGATGTTTTTTTTGTAGTTGTGGCATTTTATATGAGATGTTAATTTTTGTTATTGAGGGATCAGGTTAGGCCTATATATGTAATGACGTAAGACTAAGATGACAGGAAGGTTTTTATGTTGGGAATCAGCATCATCAAATTACTCAGAAACAGTTGCATTTTTTGTGTTAGCAGAGATAAAAAATTGTTTGTTGCCCAGTGTTATCAATTAGCTTGATATTAATAAAAATGCTAATATTTCAAAAAAATTACTAATAATGTTAAAAAAAACAGGCTCAACTTGAAATAAATGTCCAATAAATACAACCTACCTGACTATATCTTATCATCACAAGTGAATTACTAACAGAATGTTCTGAGCACTTTTCTAGCCTTAGTTTATTTTTATACACATTAAAATACACAATACCTCCCCAGTCAAGTATGGATTTATATTTGGGCCTATGTATTATAATTATAAAACAAACAGACACCTACATTTGGTACTGTTCTCGTTGTTTGTACAACTGAATGATCTTCGGCTTTAAAGAGTTCATCTCCCTATCTAATGTCCGGTTATAAGCTGCTTGGTGTTTCAAATCATTTTCCAGCTGAATTTTACTTTCTTGCATAGAGTGTAATTTTTTCTTCAGCAGATCAAAGTTTTCAGCAACACTACAGAATGAATAAGACAAGATGTTATTAACTTCTCATTAAATAGAAATTTTGAATGAAAGGTATATGGAATAAGATCAGAAACCATCATTACTAACTCTTCAATGGATCAATGTTTTTCATAAGAGCATCTGATTAACCCTTTTGCAACCAGGCATTTTATGTTCTCAGGAATTAAGAAAAATTTATGAAGTATAAACAATTTATATAGCTAGTGTACTTGAGAATGACTGCACCAGTGATTGAAACATGATACTTGTTCTAAAACAAATCTTACTTACTTTAAAAGCTGTAACTTGTATATAATATAATTAATCACTAAGTAAACTCAAAATGAAACCATTAATTCAACTACAGCAGCAGCTGAGTTTTTTCATATAATTCTGTTCTTTGTGTGAAAAATCATGTTGAAAATTACTGATCACCTCTAGTTTTTGAGTTATGATAGATTTATTCAAAATATTCTTATATATATTGTGAAAATAACTTTTCCTTCAATAACTTTTTTTATTCATTGAAAATGGCATTTAAGATTGCATAATCTGCATGCTTTGATAAGTTTCTTTCATGTTCACATCATGAGCAATAGGAATCAATGGCTTAGTGTTCTCATTGTGCAAAAATACAGCTTATAGACTAACTTTAGATGAGTCGATAAAAAGTTTCCATTCTTGTGGATGATGTTCAGTACTTAATTCTTCCATTAGTGCATCAACAGTTGTACAGAAACACAAAGTATTTTGCATGCTGTAGTGAGAAGAAAGACTTTGATGGTGACTTTCATAAGTTATAACTCTTGTTCCTGGAGCTAATAAATTCCATTGCTGTAAACAAGAGCCAAGAAGTTCCCCATGCTACTTTGATAGAGACAAGTCACGATTCAGACCATTTAGCTCTTCTTGTGTGATCAGATGAGGCAGTTTATGTTAAGGTGCCACAGGAATAGAATTACTAGATGAAGATGATTCATTCTCTACTTTGTAGGATAGCTCTTCTGTTTACCAATTCACTGGTAGATGTGGCACCGGAAGATCATTCCCATGAGCTACTTGGTTTCATTGCAGATGCTGTATCTCGATATTCAATGTATTCTTTAGTTTTGCCTAAATATCCAGAAACATTAGTCATACAAAAATAACAGTCAGTTAGATTATTTTTGGGCTCATGCCATATCATAGGAAATACAAATGGCATATTTGCTCTCTTCTTATTTAGCTACTGTGTCAAGCCAGATGTGGAAATTGTACAACACACATGTGGAAACCAATGTTCTTCTTGGTCACCAATTTTATATCCAAAATAGTGGTAGTAAACTACTTTTACCTTGTGTGTGATGTTTTTCCTTCATCAAACTGTAATATATTTTCCACAAACATAGCAGAAACTGTTTGGGTGATTTTTGGACTGGAGGGAGCCAGCATTTCAAATGATTTTCTAAGAAATATAAAAGAATTTATGTTTTCAGAATTAGAGCTCAAAATATTTTAAAAAACAAAGTTTTGCAGAACTTGATTATATCACAGGTATGCTGTAAGGAAGAAAATCGGATTTTTTTTGACAGTGTGCGGAGTGAGGCGAAGTGACCAACTGAGTAAGAGAGAGGCACCTGAATCTGCCCCTTTTATGCTCAGTCGAGGGACTTCTCGAATGTTCTAGCAAACTGAGCACATGAAGGTTTTGTGATTCTCGAGCAGACCAGGTGAGCATGGGAATGAAGCAAAAGTGATGCAATTCGCTACAATTATATCAAGAAGAAATAACATATATGAACAATATATTTGGAGTTTTACACCAATACAATACAGTTAGTGTTTGAAATTATCAAAAATGTGTGCTTTTTACCCATTAAACTGTCCAGATAAACTTAATTTCACAGCATAAATGTATTGTACTGAGTTGATTGCTTGGTATTTAACATAGTGCTGATAAAATATTGAGATATTACAATGACTCAAATTCTAGAGGTGATGGACAACTTCTGACTACATTTGTGAAATCAGCACTATCAGATTACCTTTAGTCACTTGAGTTTTCTCCAGTAGCAAATTTTTTGTTGTCCGGTGTAATTCAACAGTACTGAGTTAACCTGTTAGTTTGTTGTATCATTTCTAAAATCTCCAAGCCATGCTGCTTAGACTTATTATCAACAATTTTCCCCCATGCTATAATTAATAAAACCCATACCACATGTTCTAAATTTAATTGGACATCCTTAGACAATTCTTTATTACATAAGAATATAAATGTGGAATGATAAAAACCCTATAATCCGAGTGATTTCAAAAGGTGGACCTTTCTCTTTCAATGGTAAACTGAAGAAGAATGGTCCACCTTTTGATAGTGCATGTATTAAAGGGCTTTTATCATTTTATACTAAATAAACCTATAACCGAAGCACTTATCAAAGGTCTACTTTATTGTTTTATATTAAGACTTGCTGAACCTACGTGTTTTTCTGACATTGTGAATATAAATGTGGATATACTGAATATAGGAAAAAAATTACCTAGTACTGTTAATTACTTTCCTGTTGCTTTCTGTACATAAACCAACCAGCAAATATCCATCTTGCAATCTTTTACTGCTTAAACTTCCATTAGCAATTGATTAGCGTAACTTGGCAACAGGGAAGCGTAAGTAGCAATCTTTTGTCTTGCATGTGACTATTCTGTAGTTGCTTGAAGATAGTTGAAAACACTCAAAACAGCTGATGGAATTTTAAGTGTCCTGCTTACCTAGGGGGAGATAGTGTGTAGTGTGGTTGGTTGGTTTTTTAATTTAAATGTGTTACAGCTTTCTATTCTGTTTTGGATTTAAGTATAGATCATTTTGTTTTGTGATCAGCTGTATGATTTTAGAATGTTAACTTTACATATTCCTAGTTTTGAGTTTGTTTTTGAAAACTGATGTCCTTCAATATATCTAGTTTGTTTTAAAAATTAAATTTTTGTCAGGCCATGCCAAACATCCTCCAGATATGCTTTTCATGTTTCACTTCTTAGTATATGTACTCTTTTTTGATGTAATGCTGCAAAACCATACTTCTAGTTTTATTTTGTAAACCTCTGCATTGGATGTAATTTCATTGTGAGTTTTAAAAATGTTAACTGTTCATTACAGACCAAATAAAAGTATCTTCTCAAATCTCAAAAAGAATCCTGGCAGCAAAATCTGTCAAAAATGGATTAAACAAACTTCACTTTTGGCCAAGAACATTCAATCAAAGCAAAAGTTTTTATAATATTTCTGTGCTGTACTTGACATTTGGATTTTCTAGGCTTTCATGGTTAAGTGATTGAGAGATATTATAAATTTGTTTTAAAGAATATTACGCTAACAGAAATATAATTCAACTTTTATGTGAATGAAGAATTAGTGTGTGTGTGTGTGTGTGTGCAAGATTTTTTTTTCAATATAAAATTTAAGGTAGTCATATGTGTCCTGACAATGAAATAATTACCAAAAATAGAATTTTATATCTGTGAAGAACAAGAACTTAATTAACAGTTGTTGTTAATATTTAATTTCCAACCTTTTTTTTTTAGATACTAAAACATAAATCATATCACCATTTAGAATGTTGCATCTATTTGAATTTAATACTCATATTGGTATAAACTATTAGTTGTTTGTTTAATCACATTAATAAATTAACAAACTCTTGAATTTTAAAACCTGCCACTTTATTTAGTAGATACTTATGATCATATTGACTAAGTAGTGAAGAATTCAAAACTTGCAACCTGTTTAGCCATTTAAATTTAGCGTCCAAAAAATTCCCTCAAAATTTACTGATACCTTTGTAACATTTAAATAGAAATTTATGTTAAGGGTTTCTCTGTTTTTGACTGTATTAAAAAATTGTTAAAATCCAAACTTTACATTTCAAGTGAAAAACAAACAGAATCACTGATAACTAAGTTGATTCCTTTAAACTACCCATTACTAGATGTCTTCATGGAGTTCTATATTTACCTTAGAACATTTTACTTCTCACTTTATGCAGGGAACTGAAAGTATGATTGGTTGACTTACTTATCACTAAAAAACTTGGAAATGTTATTCATTGTTTTTTTTATTTTTAATTATTAATAGTACCTTAACAAAAAAGATCTCTGATTGAAAACTACATTGTCCAGGTTAAAAAATGTGAAGTTCCCAAATTGTAGTGACTCTTGTACACTGTCATGTATTGGATAGCTAAAAGGAAACTTGAATAGGTTCTATGATAAGTGTATCTACAGATCTCTGATTGAAAACTACATTGTCCAGGTTAAAGAAATGTGAAGTTCCCAAATTGTAGTGACTCTTGTACACTGTCATGTATTGGATAGCTAAAAGGAAACTTGAATAGGTTCTATGATAAGTGTATCTACAGGTGTGTGTTTTTTTCTCACAAGTAGTATAGTAAATAGTAAGTTTGTGTAAACAGTTTTTTGTTTTTGTTCGTGTTCAAAAAGAATATTTTTACACTTCAGCACTCTTTTAAGGCCATTATTTATCTGTCATTATTATGATTAGTATTATAGGTTTAACAGTTTTCTATTTATTTATGAAGTCCAGTATAATGTATCATCATCATTTCAACAATAACTGGGATGGTGAACCTTTAGAGACCAAGCAGTTTTAAAATAATTTAAATTAGAATGGTTAATGTGTAAAGGCAGTGCAGTTTTATAGAATACTTTCAGTGAAATGGTGAATGTATAAATACCATGCAGTTTTAGAATAATTTAAAGTAGAATGGTAAATGTATGAATACCAAGTAGTTTTAGAATAGTTTCAGTGAAATGGTGAATGTATAAATACCATGCAGTTTTAGAATAATTTAAAGTAGAATGGTAAATGTATGAATACCAAGTAGTTTTAGAATAGTTTCAGTAAAATGGTGATTGTATAAATACCAAGTAGTTTCAGAATAATTGCAGCATTTTGACAACTAGACTTTGTGTTATAGGAACTAGTGATTTATCATTTGAAATTTTAATTGTTATTTAGTCAATTAATCACCTACTAGTACTAGACAGAAACTAGGATGAAAAGCAATGACTGTCAGTGTATAATATTTTGAAATCTTCACTAAATGTTTATTACTTAGTCAACTAACTATTGCTGGGCAGAAAGATAATTAAGAATTATTGTTTGTTATGGACACTAATATACGTGTATAAATCTATTCATTTGTGAATCATTGATAAAGTTCATTGCTCGTTCCTTTTATAACAGTGTTTCTCAACCTTTTTGATACTAAGGGCCAGCTCACTGCCTTCATAAACTGTTATGAACTACTAAAATCCAAGGACAATGGAAAACCATTATGATTCACATATGAATATTCTGTCAGTTTTTTTTTTTGTTGTTTTTTTTTCATGTAATCCCACAGAATTGCTAGGTGGTTTTTGTTTATGTAAACAAATATTTTACATATTGGCAAGCTTGAGAATGTAGCTCATCTTCCAAACCTTTATCTTCAGATGGTTATTGAGTAAAGGAATAAAAAAGGAGAGAATTGACAAATTACTTCAGAACTCTTCTGCAGATAGTAAAGATCTAGCAAGGTAATGCACATTTTAATTTTGTTTGTTTTTAGTATTAACCATGCAATGATACCCAAAATGTACAAGCATAATTACAGTATTGTCTAATTGTGATGAAATAGTAATAATAGCTAGGCAAACAAAGATTTATGAGCATAAGGAAAAGTTTTATTGATGGTGGAACATACTACATGTTTCAACAGAACATTGGTCTGTCTTCAAAACGTGGAATCTTCTACAATCAATAAAATTCTTCCTTATGCTTATAAATTGTTGTTTGCCTACCTATTATTATATTAGTATAATGTGCTTCCTTACTCAAGTATGATAATAGGTAATAAGTTTCTAAAACGTATTAACCATTTTTTTCTAATGTTGGCATAGATCCTTCTGGAATATGAGATGGTTTTTTAAGTGTAGATTTTAGATCATTGCCTTACCAGAACAAGTTATGTATTGTGAGTAAACTTCTACTTATCCAGAAAATGGTATGATAAAAATATCTTAGAATGATCCATGAAGAACTGAATATTCATTCATTATTCATCCTTTTGTATAGCAACAACATGAAATAAAAAATTGCAAATCTTATTCCTCCAGAGACTCGGCCTTTGTTCAAGATTATGACAACCTTTCTCACCATGATGAGTCCACTTGGTTTGTAAGTGAGTGTTCAAAATCACAAGCTAAGCTCTTACTGAGTGGAAAACGTAATGGAACCTTCCTTATCCGTAATAGTTCAACTGGCGAGTTTGCTTTATCTATTGTGTAAGTCTGTTAATGATATTATTATAGTTATTAGTGATACATAAGTAGAACCATAAAGTATGTGTGTGGAGATGTGCTGTTTTGTTCTTTAGGACATAGGTATCAAATCTGTAATAAATATCTTGTATGTAAAACAGTATTGCAAGTAATTGCTATATACTTAAGTTACTTTTTTGAAGTAGGTAGTACTATTATAAGATGGTTTTTATTTTATAAATTAAATGACTTTCTCTAAAACACAGAATTTTTGTGTACGAAAGTAGAGAAGGCTTTCCTGTTTTTAATTAAATAAAAATCATTTGCAACTGTAGCCTTATACATCTAAAGACATATGAGGTTCCTTTGGGTGACAGATGATGTCGTGATCTAGTTGGGCTGGCAGTGCATAAACCTACAGCCTTCAGGTTGTCACGGGTTGGGTTTTGTTACAAAAATTGAATTTATAATCCCAATATCTTGTTTTCAGTCAAAATATGTGTGTGTGTTAAAAAGTCAATACTTACTTGTTTCTTGCTTTACATATTGAATAAACAAATGTTGTGTAGACTGCAATTGTATAGAATAAAGGTGTTATAATGTATCATGGCTATACACTTACTCACAATTTTTATTCTGTATACTACTTAAAAATATATGTATGTACATTTTGAGTCTTTGTAGATTTTTCAATTTGTATATGTTTTTATGTACATCATGCTTTCTGTTTATAAAAATATTATATGCATAAACATGAAAAAAGTAAACTTTTTTGTTTTGTAAATATGAAAACTGTTACCCAACAAAAAATAGTTTGATATATGTAATTGTTTGTCTCAAAAATAATATTTCTTTGATTTTGTGTAAAGTTATTTTTTACTTCAAAATAACATCAAAGTGCCAAAAAAAATTTATAATTTATCAAATCTTGGATTTTCATTTTGTAGCTCAATGTGACTATTTAACACACATGAAACAAGTAGCATTCTATTACCCAACTGCACTCTATAAAATACAAGATTTGTTTTCATCCAACAAACTATAGATAGTATGTTTCTTGTGGCACAGTAGAAGGATTTTAGTACTTACAAAAATAAACTGTATTATCTTCAGATAGATACAATCCAGAGACAATTGTTATGAAAGGTAAAATTTGTTGCAGTTGCCTTATTTTACTTTTTCTTCTTTTTTTTTCTATTTTAGAGCTGATGGTAAGGTAGAGCACTGTCTCATCCATAAGACAAGTACAGGATATGGTTTTGCTGAACCATATAATATACATCCCACGTTGAAAAGTTTGGTGCTTCACTATGCTCAGACTTCACTTCAGGAATACCACGATGTTTTACGAACATCTCTGGTTCATCCTGTGTATGCATCACAGTCAGATCAATACATTAATATTTCCAACTGATGGAAGGTTGTAGCACACTGCTGTAGTTTTAATGTGTATAGAAAACATTTTAGATCATTTATAGACTACTATTGTTTTTTTCACTGAGCTGAAGAGAAAGATAAACAGAGGAACAGAAGTAAAAGGATGAAACTTTGTTATTACTTGGTTTCCTTATCAGTATATTTTCACAAAAAATAGTACAAGTTCCTATTTTATCCTGAAAAAAATCTTTCTCTTTAGTTTGGTGTCATGAGATTGTTGAAACTTTTCATTATCTTCAGGTTTTAAAGGTAGTAAGTGTGTCATGTACATTTGTACAGGCTTCTATCATAGGTTTAAAGTGTTAATTGTAGTAATTGTTAATGAAAATTTTCAAGTGTAGCAAGAACTTATCTGCTAAAATTATGTGTAACATTTCTGTGGTAAAAGTAATTGTTAAATGTTAATGTTGTTATTTTTTTATATCTAAATAATTCTTTTTCACAAAATGTGATCAGATGTATATTAACCAAATTGGTAAAAAAGTATGCTAATGTTTTTTCAATAAAACACACGAGTGTGAAACAACTGTGAAAGAAACAGTAATATATATCTATTAAAATAAATCTTGTAGCAAGTACCTAATAAATATGTAATTGCAAAACATCTTGTAAATGCTACCTGTTTTTGATTCACTCTTTTAAGAACAATATGATTTAATGTTAAAAAGTAAGTCTGAGATATAGATATTTTTGTGCACACTTTTCTTACAACTCCAAAATGTGATGTTGTATTAAAATAAGCAAGAACATGTCATGACATGGCTGGCACCATAAGTAGGGTAGTGTACATATTACTGTTCTGGATTAAAATATTACAAAAGTTAGCTGTTCATCAGAAAGTAGATATTTGTAGTTTTTATACTAAAATATAAATATGGAAAAGTAGTTTAATAACATCTTTATACTTGTGTTCGTGTTGTTCAATTATTGTCATCGTAGCATAGTGACCATTCTTGTACTAAGAGAAGAATTATTTCATGTGACATGATCATTAGGGTTAAAGTTTACATTGTATGAGGTGTGATAAAAATTTTCATCACTGCTATACGTGCTCATAGTAATTTTCAAATATTTACATTATCAGATGTGATAAAAAAAACAACCTTAATGGACTGTTGTAGAGAAACAATTGATTTTGTTATAAGCCTGAAGAATGCATCAACATAATGATTATAAATTATTTCTTGACGTGCATTTCAAGTTGTGGGCAAAATGTTTTTGATTGTGAAATATATATTTGGTAATTTTTTACCCTGAAAAAAAAAACTTATCTAGCTTCTGGATTATAATTATATTTCAACATTGGCTTAGTCAGTATTGAATAAGTTTAACAGTATTTAAAGTTTGTTTCTGTCGGCAGTCACTGAGTGTTTCAGTAAATTTGTATTTTAAAATATTTTTTGAGCCGTATGTGATTAATCTCTGTGATTTTACCATTGCAACACAGAGAATTATAATCTAAGTAAACATTTTTTCTATTTTTGTTAGTGACATTATATCTTTTATAAAAAGAAAAAAAACAGTGTACCAAGGTCAAGCAGTTACCCATTAAACTTATTGAAAATATTAAAACAGTAATATTTTATATTACTTGTAGAGACTGAAAAATGAGATTGTTTCCATAAAAATAGAATGTGCAAATTAAATAGAATTATGGTATGAACTAGCTATATTTTGATGCAGTTGGTTAAGCAAAAACAGATATTTATATCGCAAGTCAGGAAGCTTTTTTTAAAATTAGAACTAGTTTAAGTTAATGAAGGTAATATTTCAAATTACTTATGGATTAAAAATGAATAAAAAATATCGATATAAGGGAAATAAAAATGTAAAAAGCTATAGTATGAGTAAGTCATATTTGTCAAAGAAAAATTTATTTTTTGTGAAATGTCGAAGGCCTTTTTTTTTACTTTAACTTCATTTTATACCTAGTAACTGTGTACAGATAAGCTTAATGTTAATAATATGTGATATGATCTATCAGGGTGATTAATCTTTTTTTAAATTGGAGTCATATGTACTGTTCAGAAACAGGATATTGGCTAGTAACAATGTGCGAGGTAAGAAAAATCAATTACTTTTGTGTAGTTTTTCAATTGAAGTTTCCAGTGATATAAATATATTTGTATATATGAAACTAAAGCTAATATTAAAAGGTTACGAGGCAAGTCGAATTGAATTGATTTACACATTCTAAATGGTGGATCTACAGTACTTGGATTTTCTATTTTCTTCATTTTGGATCATTTTCTTACATACTTTTAAATATAAACACAATCGTGGTTCAATAATTTGTACTCCTTTTTATTCTTGAACCAATTTCTGTTGAGTTTCTACAGCAGTTTTATTTGTATACTTGACATAAGAAAACTGTTTTAGTTTATGTCTTTCCTCTCTTAAGGGTATTTGCTATTCAAGTAATATGAAATGATGTATTTAGAATGTTTATCATTTCTTAATATACCATTCTTAAGTATGATTATTTTTCATACATCAGAGGTTAAAAGTTTCATCTGAATTAAAGGCTTCTTGTCACACATGGATATTCTTTCTTTTTCTGAAAGGTTAGGGTAAATATAATTTCAAACTTGAATATTCTTAACACAGTTTAATAGTTTTATGATTAGTTTAATAATTAGTTTGCTCCTCATAAAGAAATGGCAAAAATATGTAAAATCACTTTGTTAGTAAAAGGATCCACTGTCATATCTTGGTCTTTGTTTTCACTTTCTTATGAGAAGAAATTATAACATTAAATCACTCAGTAGGGTGTTTTGAATTTTTACACTTTCAATCTCTTTTAGTTGAAAGAACCTGCTAAAAAAAGGTGTTAAGAATATAAAAATATACTAGTTAAACTGTTTACTTCTCACATTAATTGAACTTGTTTGTATTAAAATGCACATTTTCATTGTTAACAATTAAATGAAAACATTTGCTGAAACATAAAATCATTTAGGCCTACAATACGACCTTTTACAGAACTGAATCGGATATACAAAATAAACAAAACAGAGATACAAAAGGAATATTGAAATGAATTAAGAACAGGTGGTAAAATATTTGGAGTAAAAACCTAATGCCTCTTCTGTCACACCTTGGAAGCTCGTTAACAATTGCTGTTTATTGGTTTTGAGAAATTAAGATGTATACTGAAAAGATATAGTAAGCTTCTTACTTGTGTATGGATGCACATTATGTCAATATAATCTTAAATTGTCAAACAACGACTTATACGTCGTTGGTAAAAAAGTAGCCCAAGAGTTGGCGGTGGGTGGTGATGACTAGCTGCCTTTCCTCTAGTCTTACACTGCTAAATTAGGGACGGCTAGCGCAGAATAGCCCTCATGTAGCTCATGTGACTTTAATAGATGTAGTCAAACATCATTTTGAACACATGTTATATATATATTGTAATACCTATATATTCAACCACAGAACTTGGAATTAGGGCAATATTTTCCTGATAATTTAACTAAAAACTTAAATTAGGTTTTAGGAATCTGTAGCATTGACAGAAATAATGGATGTTCTTAAGAAAAAAGGTGTTCGAAATATTTAATAAAGTTCATTCATTTCTAAAGAAGAGCAGTCGGTCGAAAAATCTCTACATGAAATCAGAAGCGTGTGAAGTTTTAGTGTTCCAGTATGATATCGATCATGGTTTTCTATTCTAATTTTTCAAGACACCAACTGGGGATTCAGGGTCTAGCGACGCCTCTGGATGAAATGAATTTTGTTCTATTTCAACGCAGTGTTTTTACAGTGATTTTAGTTTATTGCATTTATTCCCCAACATTGTGCGGATCCTAATTCTTCTGGAAACCATTTCTAAAACATAAACACACTTGGTATTATTTGCAATAATAGATTATTAGGGGTGTTGTATTTTTGGTCATTGTTTGCAAATACAATAGGACCAATACTAATGTCTTATGACAAGAGTAATTACTTAACTTCTTAAGAAATGAAGTACTATGAAATAGTGTGGCAAACCAGCATTGTTGTGAACTTTTCGGACGTTTGTATGAAGAAATTATATTACGTACGAAGATATTTACTAGTGACGTATGTGTAGGAGCTTCTACCTACTGTTGCGTCAGCGAGGTCACGTGACTAGTATCACGCCACTTCTTTCTCGATTGGGGGTAGACTGGTATATATAAGATGGTCACAACGTGACGGGACAATATGTAGGTAGAGAGTAATTGAACTCGAGCACGTGAGACGTTAGTTGAGAATTATAGCGCGACTGTTGAAATTAAGTGTATCGTAAAGTTGTATTCGGAAAGAATAAACCAGTTTTATTTAGGAAAGGACTTGTATCGCTAAAGTTTCGTCGAAGCGAAGTTACGGAAAATTAACTAACGAATGGAGGCGTAACACTACTAATATTTATAAGCTCTCCGAAATAACATTAAATTTTATTTTGCATCGATAGTAGGTGTTTTCGGCTTTAGTGCACAGAACAGCTGCTTAACTTTATTAATTCAGTAATGACATTTTACCTGTCATATAACCGTAAAACATAACTGTTTGTAAACTTAAAAAAAAATAACAGAGATGACAACAGAAACAAGATCCATAAAAGTTATTTATTGTTCGTTTTTTTCAAAATTACATATTTAGTTAATATCTTGGAAGGTTAATTAAACTAGCATGTCGTAGTTTATGTAGGTGATATCTGCTCGAAATACGCTACATCTACAAAAACAGTCAAGTTAGAGTAAAGATGTCGGCCATATAAGGATGTAAAATAGAAAACAAACAAGTTATATGAAATGGTAAACCCTATTAAGATGTGACATAAAAGAGGACATGTTAAAAAAACCATGAAGAAACTTGGCTTCCCTTTTATATTTATGTTGTTTATTCCAGTTGCAATAAAAAGGGGACTAAGTATTCCCCGATGTTGTTTTTTTTAATACCCTCTTTTTACATTACACCTTCGTAGAGTTTCCGGCCATATGAAATAAAAGAAATGAGTCAAATTATATAAAAGGACTTCCTTAATTTTAAATTCACAGTTTTTATATATGCTTGAATAGATCGCAATGTTTTGAAGTCAAACAAGGGTGAAATGGCCAACAACTGCCTAGTTAATAATGATACTTGTAGAAAACTTCTGAAGGAGTAATCTACAAAAATGCTCAGGTAGAAATTACAAGGACTTATGAATGAAAACAAAGAACAATATGTTATAATATTTCAACCATACTACATCTCACATATCCAGTACACGCAAGACCTTTCACTGAGGACTGTTAATATGACACACATAATAGTGATCTAGGTGCTATTTACATCACCAACCTTCATGAACAACAACTTTTATGATGTGAATTAGATTAAGTGTTATGTAATTATTGTCTATTTTATTTAAGTCATTCAGAAATCATATTTTTATGGTAAGGGTTAATAGCCCAATATTATTTTAACACCGATTATTTTATTATTATTTGAATAAACTTTTGCGTTAGTTTTATGCGGAAGAGTACACAGTGGGTGAAAGAAAACATGGATGTTAAGCTAAATTGTCATTTGTTGGATATACAAGACTGTTTAGTGTAGGCGTTATTATTTAATTTATTTTGTGAGTTAATATTTAACCATTGTTTAGTTTTTCATAACAAGAGAATTAAAAGTAATTATTTTAAAGGCGATACTTATGACAAGTTTGGTTAGGTAACTCGATAAGAGTTGTACGTTGTATTATTTGCAATTACATTGTTGTCTAGGCTTTACTAATATTGTTGACGTCACGTTACTCGAATCTTCGCTATTTTTCGAGGCCTCAGTGAATAAAATATTTATATAAGTGACTCGCGAGCGCAAGTTAAGAAAAAGAACGAAAGAAGTCAAGTGAAAGTAAAGTTCAGTTAGAAAAAGGTTTGAAAACGTGAAGTTAGCCAGCGTGTGAGTGATAACTGGCGATATTTTAAAGTGAGTTACAGTTTAATAGAGATAAGGAGAATAATTTGCCTTGTCAAAGGGTATTCTAAAGTAATTGAACCCGTCTGTGTGGACTTTTCTTACGTATTAGAATTTCAAATGGTCTGAAATTGAGTTAAATGATAATTTAAATTTAGTAGTTAAATTGTACTTTGGATTTAGTAGTTAAGTAAAAGCGATATATAGTCAGTTTATGATATTTGCCAACAAGATAGATACACACAGCTTTCTTTTTGAACACAAATACGTTTTAATATACACACAACAGTACAATTTACAATAACAGTTATTACAAACAATGATTTATAAACAAAAGTTTCACAAACTTACAAGCAGTATAAAGTCTTCCTTAATCTGGAACTTCTTTAATATCTTATCGAGAATTCACGATGAGTGAGTTAATTACGATATAACGTAGGTATATTTCACTTAACGGGAAGCTAGCTAGCTTTGTCCTTAGTTATTTATCCGTCACACACGCTGAGTTTTCCACCGTTGAAGTTAGGTAATGTTTTCGTAAAAGAATCCACTGAAGTTAAATGATTTGTAGTGTTCTAACTTTGTGAATGCTCCTGGTCAAATATCTTAAGTTTTCCGATTGATAAGCGTTATAACAATCACAGTTATAGCTTCCAAAGTCTGTAGCACACTGACAATAGCAAACTAATAATAGATACTCTCTTCTATTTCAGCGCTTCACGTTGGTTATATTTATAAGCGTGTGGAGGCATTTCAGAAATTTCAGTTTTCTTTGACAATACTGAGTTATAGTTAAACGTTTACCTATATAGATATATTGTTGATTCTTACTCTCGAGAATCTTCTACAACTTTGAAGAATAGGCGGGAGTTTCGCAATACATATTTAACACTATAAGCTACACATGTTTTAAAATATAAACTTAATCTAAACAAACGGTGATATTAAAATAAATATATAATAACAAATTCGTTGCACTTTGACGAAAAGGAGACAATTATTTGAAGTTCAGGATACAACTGTGGTAATCCAATGTGTAGCGTAAGAGAATTATTCACTAATACTATCGTTATAAGAGCAGAGAAAAATAGTTTGTCTTATCAATTGGATTCTAAAGTAATTAAATCAACCTAAGTGGATTTTTAACAAGAAAAGAAAACTATTTAAAGTTTTAGATAACTTTGTGATTTCCTATGATGTAAAGAATTTTTGTACGTAGTTTGACTTGTTTTGAATATATTATGTTAATACCAGTTGATTTTGTGCTATCCGTTTATTGTTCGAATTTTTCGCCAACAAGTCACAGACACCTACTGTAGAAAAATCCTTAGCCCACATATATAATAAAACCCTGACACCATTTTTTTTTTGTTTTTTGCTAAGCACAGTATCGGTGTTCAATGCTGCCGGACGTTTCTTATATATTAGGGAACAGCACTAGAAGTTTCTTAACTATTGAACATGGTAACTAATTTCTATTAAGACTGTTCTTGATAGCTACATTCCTCATATACATCTTTAACATTGAGTTTCTCTTGTGTTCCAAATGATAATAGTAATTCTAGAGCTCTTGGTTATTGTCAGTTACCCAGTGTTCAGTGTGTTTTGTATCAATTCCAAAGTATTGGAACTTACAACGCTAGAATCCGGGTTTCGATACCCGTGGTGGCCAGAGCACAGATAGTCCATCGTGTAGCTTTGTTCTTAATTACAAACAAACTTAAGAGATCATTTTGATT